TGCATCAGTTAAGCCAGAATAACAGAAAGGCCATCAGCACCTAGGCCTCAGATCTCCCAGTCACACTGTGAGACCGATGATCACCATGGCCCAGGAGGCTGTGAAGTGTGGAAATCACCCAGGGGTCACAGGCGAGCCCTGGGAGGTGCCTGGAGCCACGCTGGCTCACTTGCTGAGCAGTTACTCTTGTCAGCTGAGGCAAACGCAGTTCTTCCCACAGCTGTCAGCGAGCATTTAAAAGCACATGCGAAGCTGATTTCAGGCGGAGGACTCCGAGTTCCAGCAAAATAAACAGTTGGCTGGGGCCGCCACTCAAGTACATTTTATCAGCTAATAAATGGACATGTTCTTGTCAAGCCCAGAGTGGGCAATTTGAGTTTTATAAAGAGCTTTTTGAGTTTTCTCCTTTCAGATGCTCTGCCTCTGAAAATAGCCATAAAACATCCCTTAAAGTCTCATTCCCTCCAGGCCAAGCCCCGGCTGCCGTGTGCTCTGCCATGACAACCAGCGATGCCTCCTCATCCAAGACCACGCCGCTGGTATGGGTTCCCATTCCAGCTCCAATTATGTGTTGAATTTCCTCAAGTGGATGTTTAATAATCCTCCAGAACAGACTGTTTATGCCGAATGAAGCCCGCAGAGAGCTCTCGCTCCTCCTTTTCCCCACTGCTTTGTGCTGGTGTGTGAGGCTCACAGTTTTTGGCGAAATGTGTGATTTTTACCCTCCCAGCAGGCAGGAGGACAACTCTTCCTACTCTCCAAAGTGCTGGCAAATTGTCCTGCTGTCAGAGAGATCAGAGGGCTGGTGGGCAGACCACAGCCCTCAACCGGGAGCCCCCAGATAGGGCTCAGGACATGGTTGATCCTTAGCTTCTTGGACAGATAAAGGTTTGGCCTTGGTGAAGTTTCTGAGGGTGACTCCTACCTGCTTGTGACCTCCTGGCGCCAGTCAAGATTTCCCACCAGGCAAAAGTGGAAAGCTGTGGAGAATGACTTGTTTGTTTTTAAGATTTATTTTCATTGGAAAGGCAGATAGAAAGGAGACAGAAAGATCTTCCATCTGTTGGGTCACTCCCCGAGTGGCCACAGCACCCAGAGCTGAGCCATTCCAGAGCCAGGAGCTTCCTCCGGGCCTCCCATGTGGATGCAACATCCCCAGACCTTGGACCATCTTCTACTGCTTTCCCGAGACACAAACAGGGAGCTGGATGGGAAGTGGAGCAGCCAAGGTAGGAATCGGTCCCCATATGGGATCCTGGCATATGCAATGCGAGGATTTAATACCAGGCTATTGCAACAGGCTCAAGAATGAGTTATTTTTAAGATGTTTTTTGGGATGGCAGGTATGACAGATACCTGAATTATGTTTGTCACTAATGTAACATCAAGAATAAGAAGAATGTCATGTAACATTTAAATGTTTTTTTAAATACCAAGCAGTATTGTTAGACTTTTTCATGCACTGTGCCTTTAATCCTTACAGTATCCTGTAACTCTGGTACTGATGTTACCTCCTAGCAGATGAGGAGTTGAGGTTGAGCCTTAGAATCTGCTCTTTCTTTTTGGGGGGAAAGATTTTATTTATTTTATTGAAAAGGCAGATCTGATGTCGCGCCCACAACTCCTATCGTCCAGCAATAAGAGGCAGACGCGAGTGAAGTCTTCTGCGGTAATCTTTATTGTGCACACCAAGATGAGGAAGAGGAAAGGGCACCGACACCGGCTGGCTGCCTGCTCTTATGTGCTGACTGGCCCCGCCTCCGCCGATGATAGGTCGGCGTCATGATCATGCAGGGTCCTGGGCGGCCGGATTCGTCATTCCCCAGTGTTCACGTGCCGGCCACGCCGCAGCTCACTGCGCAGGCGCCTGCGCAGTACCGCGAAAGCTACGTGACTCTCCACCAGGCACCAAGGTGTGGCTTCTCCGGCCGGCGCCATTTTGGGTACGGCATGTGGCCAGTGCATACGGATGCGGCTGGCAACAATCGGATTTATGGAGAAGAGGAGAAACAAAAGTTTTCCATACCCTGGTTTATTCCTGTGTGAGTTGAGCCGATCCAAAGCCAGGAGCCAGGAGCTTCCTCTAAGTCTCCCACGCAAGTGCAGAGTTCCAAGCTTTGGGCCATCCTCAATTGCTTTCCCAGGCCACAAGCAAGGAGTAGGATGAAAAATGAAGCAGCTGGAACATAAGCCAGCACCCATATGGGATTACAGTGCTTGCAGGGAGAGGACAAGCCAACCAAACCATCAAGTAGGGCCCTCCAGAATGTGCAATTAAGCACTTGCCATTGTGTGGAACGAAGCTGCTGCAGGCGGCCTGGGCTGAGATGGCTGTGGCACTCCACATTGTCCTGTTGGAGACCCATATGCTGATTGCTCTGCTGCCTGTGGTCCCCACTCCCACAGGCACTTCCACGCATTGCAGTGTTCCCCAGTGGGCAAAGATTCTCCGATTCCCTGTGGAGCCGTGTGTGACAAGGGGTGGGGTGGTATCCTGAGCCATCGTGTAGGTGACTGACACTCTCCTGTTCACACGGAGGGAGCTTCTGCCTTGGCTCCCCATCGGCCCCTTGTTAGCCCAGGCTCACTGACAAGGGGAAGGGTGCCCCTTCTGCTCGGGGGTGGATGTGTGGAGGGCTCTTCTGGAGCAGCTGGCCCAGAGCAGCCGCACAAAGGCTCAAAGGGGACACATACCCTGGACACTGTTGGTGTGGTGGAGGCAAGCCAAGTGTCTATCCCCAGCAGCATGGATAGATAGGTCAAGTGTGGGCAGCTGGCACATAGAACCTAGTATCGTGTAATTAGTAAGTGTAATATTAAATGATAATATATGTGATGATTATACATATGGCCCAAAGCACTGCATAATAAGTGTTTAAGATAGGAAAGTGATGCTGGTCACAAAGGCTTTGTAAAAATGATCTCTCAAATGGACCTTTATTTATTACCTAAATATTTTAGTTTCTGCAAGCTTAATGTCCTTTTACAAAATATTTTTTATTCTTTTTTTTTTTCCATTTCTTTATTCTTTTTTGATGATAGAAAGCAAATTGTAGTCAGTAGTGGCTCCTTTTTTTGCTAAAATAATGAGTACTTTTTTTTTTCCTGGCAGAAAATTATGCTTATTACAGAAATTTTGAAAATTCCAGTAAAGCTTAAGGAAAATAAAATCCTTTATCCCTGCCACTTGGGGAATAAACACTATAAACCTTGCGATATATTTTGCCTTTCCTCTGTGCTTCCATAAACACACATAAATATTGTATGTACAGTAGCTGAAAGTATACCATAAATCACTCGTACCTTGCTCTCTCCCCTGAACACTTTCCTGTGTCATTAAAGATTCCTAATAAACCTCCTCTAAAACAACTGCAGCAGGCCTGATGTGTGCCAGACAGTGTGGCTAGCACTTTGCGTGCATTAACTCTGGCCATACATCAAGCCAGACTTTTAGGTCATTTCCAGGGTCATAGATTTCCTGGCAAAGTACCGTGCCCTCCCCAAAAGGGTTTTTTTTTTTTTTTTTTTGTAATAGCCCTTGATGTCCATAAAGAACAGCTCTTTAAGCAGGGAGAGAATCCAGGAGTTGTTTATGTTGCCACAAGGAGATTGAGATGCAGGACTTAGTGATCATCCTCTCACCTGGAAGGGTGGCTTCTGAATGCCTCCAACTGATCCCTGTGTCTCAGTAGCTCTAGGGACCACAGGGACCCGTTTGGAAAACATGGCTTATGAGTCCAAGGAGAAGAGCTGCCAAGGGCACAAAGTTCAATGGCCTGTGCATCTCTGGGTGATTTCTGACAGTATGCTGGAGCCTGTCTGGTTGACAGAGAGAGGCTTACGTATTGGAGAGGCTGATGGTTCTTTTTCATCGAGGCCCTGTGGGGAACCATGTGTGTGGCCTAGTGGTTTGGGTGTCTACATCCCATATCAGCATGCCTGGATTCTACGCCAGGCTCCCTTTTCTGACTCCAGTGTCCTGCCAATGCCAACTCTGGGACATAGCAGTGATAGCTCAAGTAACTGGTTCCTGCCACCCGTGTGGGAGATTACATTCCCAGCTCTACCCCCAGACACTGCAGACAATTGGGGAATGAACCAGTGAATGGAAGTGTTCTGTCTGTTTTTGCCCCACCCCCCTTCCTCTGTCTCTAAAAACAAAAATTTTTTTCTTAATGTTAAAGCTTTTTTGTGACTAAATAAAAAGAGCTTTCAAAAAGTTCACAGCAGTGTATATTGTGGGAAAAAACTATGCATGCGAGGATTTCAAAATTTTTGCACCAGAATATCTTAATTTCATTTTCCATGAGTTTTTTTGAATTGCTCTCATAAATGTGGGAAGTGCTGGATAAACAAACTTAAGTAGATTTACTTAACACAGAATTTCCTACTGTGTCTTTGTAGGCTGTGATCTTTGTGAATTTCAAGATGCAGCTGTGTAATGTAACATGCCTCAGCTATATTGCCTAAGGGACTGTTCTTGTTCCTGGAGTTACCTTTTGTGGTCGGTGCGTTTCAGAACCTGTCCTGGAAATCCATTCCACCCAGGGCACTCACAGGCTTGGTACATGACACCCCCCCACAAATACACCATACACACCACACAGCCTGCACTTGTGAGTTGGCAGGCTACAGGTCTGCCTTATCAGAATTGTCTTTCCATTTTTGAAGTGAACCATAGGGTCTCTGAGACCAGCTATTCTTACTATATGTTAAGTGGCAGTGCACTGGGCAGCTCTCTGAAATTTTGAAATCAGATTTTCTAGACCTTTTCCATGGGCTAAGTGACGCTCATTGAGTGTCATTTTCTCCCACAGAGTGGATAAATGCAGGGTCCATCCAGATGGACTGATGTAAGGGGCCCCTTGTTGCTTGGCCACCTGATAATGGGCGTGGAAGGGCGCGCCTTGGGTCTTTGGCAATGGATCAGCTTGCTTCTCAGGCTTCCAGGCCCTGTTGAAGACACCAGGCTCTGTCTTTCTCTCTGTGTGTTGGATCAGAGCGCTGCACTCTGTCCACCTTCTGTTTTGCAGAAGAGGATGTGGAGAACTTTGATGTGACCAACTTGTCTCAGGACATGCTGCGCAGCATTGAGGCTGACAGTTTCTGGTGCATGAGCAAGCTGCTGGACGGGATCCAGGTGAGTGTGCCCTGGGGCTCCCTTCAGGGCTTTGGTTTGTTTATTTCTCTTCTATGTTGGGCAGGCTCCCTCCACCACCGCCACACACATGCACACTTTTGTTCTGTCTCTGTGTCCTTCGTTAGCTTTTCAGCTTCCAAACAGCCATGGACAGATGTGTAATGCCTTTGTCCGTGGAGTAAGTTTCTTTTGGGAACGCCAAGCATCTGGGTTTGCTTCCACAACACAGGGCTTTGTCAACTTTGCTTAGTTCCCACCACCCCCAACAAAAGGCAGCTTTTGCTTTTAAACATGTTCCGGTGAACACCACAGCTGTGGGGAGTCCCTGCTCAACCCAGCTCTGTGGCATTTGCAGGATAACTACACCTTTGCACAGCCAGGGATTCAGAAGAAGGTCAAGGCCCTGGAAGAGCTCGTCAGCCGGATTGATGGTAGGTTCCTAGCACTCCTGCCCTTGCCAGCCCGCCCTCTCCCACCAGCACACTCACCAGCATCCTTCCGCATCCCAGGGAGGGAAAGCTGAAAGCTCTGCTGTCATCTGAGCTCATTTCCCCCTGGTGTTCTATATCCAAGTCGCGTCCCTATTCCTTCCATATCTCCCCGCAATTTGCCCTCCTGCCATCCCTGGATTGCTGCAGTTTCCTCCAAGAAGGAGCTGCCTCCTCCATACACTTAATCCTCTTCCCAGCCCTCTTCCCATACCTGCCTCTTTCTGAGGTCATATCCTGCTTCTGCATCCAGCTATTGCAATGAAACCTCCTGAGGCTCTCCATTGCCTTTGGTCTTGAGTCTGGGCCTTGTCCTTGTCCTTCATAAGGTGATAGATTTCAGAGCTCCTGGCCTGCACCCCAGGGCACTTGGGTCTGGCCAGGACCCCAGGAGGGCTCACTACAGCTTCCTGTGATTTGGATTGGACTGGGGAGTTGAGATGTGGCTCTTCTTGGGCCTTACAGTTGCTGTCTGGCCTAGGAGCGTGGAATGTTACAATTTAAAGGCATTGTGAGAAGCTCTGCTGTTGACTGGTGGGAAACCGAGGCCCAGAAAGACAAGTCAGGATTAGCTTCCTAGGGGCACATAGGGCCAGACCGTGAGCTCATCTCATACCGCATAGAGAAACTGCAGTAGGATTCCAGCTTTTGCCACACCAGCTAATTCCTCTGTGTGGATCCAAGCAGAGGTTTAGTATCTGCCAACCAGAATTGTATCTCTCCTTTCCTAGGTTCTCTTCTCATGGAAACCTTCCTTGATTCTGTCCAGTCACTCCAGCTTCCTTCTGTAATTTGGAATTTCTGTCTCCCAGCCGTGTGGCTTCTTTGCAACCATTCCCTGCATGTCAGATGTGTAGTGCTCCCTCCCTCTGGGTGTTCTCTCCCTGGCCAGCTGTCAGCTCCTTGGTGGACCTTCGCCAAGGGTTCTGCACCCTGCCCCACAGTGCAGGGCGGGTGTACGCTACCCTCTTCTGGTGCCAAGCTGCCTGCCCAGGGAAGGAGACGATGGTTTTGCCCACCTTCTACTGTGTCCTTGTTTCTTCCTTCCCTTGTACATTCCTGATAGATAAAGACACAGTGATTCAGAAACATGGACTTCCTTTTTAATTAAAAAAAAAAAAAGTATTTACATATTTGAAAGGCTTAGTAACAGAGGAAGAGAAAGAGAAATCTTGCATCTGCTGGTTTACTCCCCAAATTACCACATCAGCCAGGGCTGGGCCAGGCTACAGCCAGAAGCCAGGACCTCCACCTGGATCTCCCACAGGAGCCACATGAGCCCAAGTACTTCAGCCATCTTCCAATGCCTTTCCTGGTGCATTAGCAGGAAGCTGGAATGGAATGGAATCAGAATCATCTCGGACTCGAACTGGCCCTCTTACATGCGATGCCAGCCTGTGGGCAGCTGTTTACCTGGATGTGCCACACCACCAGCCCCAGGACTAACGACTTTTAAATGAATATATCTTTGTCATTTTTTAGCACTAGGGAAGTGATGCTCAAACTTGTTGATTCCAAAAATGTAAACAGTTCAGGAAAGTACAAAATAAGTAGAAATCCTCTCCCGTCCTTAAATTCCTCTTGCCAGCATTAATCATTGTTATTAGTTCTTTCAAATTTGTATTAAATATTTACCACCTGCCAGGTAGTGCTGTAAGCACTTATATTTTCTCATCCTCAACACTGCTGTGGTAGGAGCACCTGTTTCTATTCTTTAGATTTGTAGACTGGAGAAGACAGATTCCATGAGCCTTCTCTGGAGAACTGTCACAAGGGATCAGGCTTGTTTTGCCTTGCTCCAGAAGAACACACAGGCCCCGAGTGATGGCAGTTAGCAGGTGGCTGGTCGAATACGATGGAGCACGTGGTAGTGAATCACGCAGTGTGTCCATGCAGGAGGCTGCCCTTGACTGCAGCCAGTGGTTCAGGCCCTGCCGCCTGCCATCTGCCAGGGATGCTGCAGAGGAATCCACACCACTGGGAAGGTGGCCAAGGTGCCCTCCAACATTCTCTCCCAGTCTGGCTCTTTCTCTGGTGAGTGATAAGGCAAGGCAACCGCAAGAACCTTCCATCTCCTGCCCTGTGGCCAAAGCAGGCCCCTGGAAGGCAGATCGCACCTAGGCGATCACTGTGGGACATGACAGGGGGCCCTGCAGTGTCACTGCATGGCAACAGAGTCCAGTGTGAACAATGTGAAGGATGCAGGAGCCTCTTGGTCTCTCTGTGTCTGGCTCCCTGGGAACTGGGGATCAAGCAAAGGAAACTAATTTTTTTTTAAAGATTTATTTATTTATTGGAAAGGCAGATATACAGAGAGGAGGAGAGACAGAGAGGAAGATATTTTGTCCAATGGTTCACTCCCCAAGTGAGAGCAAAGGCCGATGCTATGCCAATCCGAAGCCAGGATCCAGGAACTTCTTCCGGTATCCCACACAGGTTCAGGGTGCCAAAGCTTTGGGCCATCCTCGACTGCTTTCCCAGGCCACAAGCAGGGAGCTGGATGGGAAGTGGAGCTGCTGGGATTAGAACCGGTGACCATATGGGATCCTGGCGCGTTCAAGGCGAGGACTTTAGCCGCTAGGCCATACCGCCGGGCCCGGAAACTAACTTTTTGATTTATGTGATCCTGTCAGGGTCAGAGCTCTTGGTTCATGACCTTGGGACCAATGGTGCTTCCTGTTTCAGAGCAGGTGCATAATCACTTCAGGAGGTACGAGGTCGAATACCTGCAGTTTGCCTTCCGCTGGATGAACAACCTGTTGATGCGGGAGCTTCCGCTTCGCTGCACCATCCGCCTGTGGGACACTTACCAGGTATCAGGAAGCCCCTGCCCTCTCTTCCCAGGGTGCCCTGGATGCCCAGCTCCCTACCCTGCCAGAGGGAACTGCACGGACCCCCCTACATGCCCATCCCGTTTTTCTGCCGTCCAGGCGGGGCCTCAGTTGGATCCTTTCTGGCCCCTGTGTGTCCAGCCATGAAACAGGTGTTATGCTGTTCTTCTGCCTTCTAGAAGGCCTAGAGGACCAGAGCTGGCTCGTTGTCAGGGCTTAGCAGCTCCTCTCTCTTTCCCTTCCCAGTCTGAGCCAGAAGGGTTCTCTCATTTTCATCTCTATGTGTGTGCTGCCTTCTTGATCAAGTGGAGGAAGGAGATCCTGGACGAAGAGGACTTTCAGGTGAGCAGCCTAGAAGCTGGGCCTGAACGGGGAAGGAATGCCCGAATGGGAGCTGGGTCCTGAAAGCGCAGAGAGAGGGTGCCTTGGCAGGTACTCGGCTGCAAAGGAGCAAGGACGGGGGTTACTCAGAGAGGTTGTCCCTCCCAGAGGGGTTGCTGCGTGTGGAAAGGGCTTTTGTGCAGGAAAGGCTGCAGAGTGTGTGGGTGAGCCTGAGAGATCTGCTGTTCATTCACCAACCGTTATGTATCGCATGCCTGCTGTGTGCTGGGCGTGGCAAGAGCACAGATGTCCTGAGAAGTGAAACACACCGAGCCTCTGTTCTCATAGAGCTGACGTGCTAGACAGGGAGAAAGCATCCAATAAGCAAAAGCATTGTAAACAGTAAATGTTTTAAAATGTTATAAAGTGATAAGGAATGAGCCCTTTTAAAAAGGTTTATTTATTTTTATTAGGAAGACAGATTTACAGAGAAAAGTAGGGACAGTGAGAAGGATTTTCCATCCTCTGGTTCACTCCCCAAATGACCACAATGGGGCCAGTCTGAAGCCAGGAGCCAGGAGCCTGTTTCGGGTCTCCCATGCAGGTGCAGGGTCCCAAGGACTTGGACCATCTTCCACTGCTTTCCTAGGCCGTAAGTAGGGAGCTGGATGGAAAGCAGAGCAGCCAGGACACAAGCAGTGCCTATCTGGGATGTCGACACTTGGAGGCACACGATTAGCTGGTTGAGCATTTGTGCCGGCCCCAGAGACTAGTCATTCTTAAAAGTAGAATGGGGTAAAGGGTTGATTAGGTGGTAGTGAAGGGAGAAGTTGCCATTTAGAATAGAATGCTGAGAAGATGGCACTGGGCAAAGGCTTTAAAAGGGTCAGGGGGCAAGGCTTGCAAACTATGGGGGAGGAGTTGGGGCCAAGGAACTGGCCAGCACAGCGCATGCCTGGACTAGGGACCTTGACATTGATCTCACGGCAGAAGATAGGAGGACAGGGAAGTAGCCACCAGGGACGCAGGTCACTATGAGGACTTTGGGCTTTTACTTTGGATGAAAGGGAACTCCAAGAGGGCCTCGGACAGAAGCATGTGACTGACCCCTTTTCAGAGGATCACTCTGAGTGTTGTGTCAGCAGCAGGTGGGATATAAGGGTTGCAGCAACGACCTCATGAAGGGTCTGTGGGAGAGAGTAGGGCTGTGAGAACAGGCCACACTAGGGGTCTGCTTTGTCAGTAGAGCAGGGCAGAAAGGGAGGGACGGGGCTGTGGGAAGGGTTGGGGTGGGGTGGAGAAGATTAGGAATTCAGTTTGCATGTGTGAGGCCATTAGTTAGGCGGGCGGGCATGTGGGTTAGACAGATATGTCTCATGATTTTGGAGATCAGCAGAAAGAAGAAGGTCTGGACTGGACCCGGAAATGCAGGTGCCCACAGCCAGGTGTTCGTAAAGCCATACCCCAAGTGAGATCCTTGAGGAAGTGAGTGTGGACAGAGAGGAGAAAAGACCTAGCCCTGGCACCCTGCTGCATCAAGAGGCCAGGGAGCAGAGGTGGATGGCGCAGAGGAGGTCGGGTGGGGTGATAGGTGGGAGCCTGTGCTGGAAGGGCCTGCGCTGGGTGCGGCATGGCAGGTGGGTGGGCAGGGCGAGGACCAGCTCGCCAGGCCAGCAGCTGCAGGGAGGCCAGCCCCAGGTTACCCAGGGAAGGCCTGCACATTTTCCACCAGAAGGAGTTGGTTGGTTTCTTTTTAATGAACATGTATTTCTGGGTTTTGTTTTTAAAGATTTACTTATTTATTTAAAATGCAGAGTAACCAAAAAAAAAAAAAGAGGAGAGACTGTAGAGAAGAGAGATCATTTCCCTGCTGGGTTTACCCCCCAAATGGCTAGAAAACTAGGGCTGGGCCAGCTGGAAGCTGGCAGCCGAGGGCTCATCCAGGTCTCCCACATGGATAGCAGGGGTGCGAGCACAGAGCTCTGTAACCTAGGTGGTGTCAGGAGCAGCAGCCTCTCCCTACGGTCCCCTGGCAGTGCCCTCTGTAACTGGAGGCTGCCCAGCAGGTAGAGGAGAGACGGGGCCCACCTGACCCGAGGGAAGGCCTCAGGAGGAGGAGCCGGCATCCAGAGTAGACGCTAGCCATGCGCGGAGGCCACGGGCTGCTGAGGAAGAGCCACAGCCTCTGCCAAGCAGCAGCAGAAGGGCTGTCCTGCGATAAATGAGGACCAGGGGCCGGATGGCCGTGTGCCGGGGCAAGCTATCAATTCTGATAATGTGGTTGAGGTGGGCAGCGTGTCGAGAGCACGAAATCTAATTGAGTTATCATGAGTCAGGCTGAGCCAGGCTGAGCGCCGTGTCAGCGGGAGGCTGAGCAGAAGGGAGTGGAGGGGATTTGTGGAATGGCTCTTCGTGATTCACAAGGTCCGCGGAGCAGAGGACAGGACTCTGTGATTTTAAGACAACGTGTGTCTAGAGATGCTACTTACAGGATCTCGTTTTCCATTGTCTGATGGATTTGGGGGTCTCACATGGAACCCACAGAAGGACCTGGGGCCTGCCATCTGCCGCTGCTGTGTTGGCACCTCAGTTCGTGTTCTTAGTGAAGGGGTTTCGCTCTTTCATTAGACCAGATAATCCACAGATGCTCCCCCCACCCAGTGCCACAGCAGGACTATGTGGGCCAGACAGGCAGTGTCCTTTATGAAACAGGATCATAGCAGAGGTGTGAGGGGTGAGGGCAGCAGGACTGTGTGAGGTTGGGAGCCACTGGCCGTGCTCTGTGCAGAGAAGGTAGGTGTGTGCATGCTAACCATTAAGGGGCCACTTGCAACTGGCCAAGGAAGCTCTGGAAATGAACACAGGTATCCTAGAAGGGTCGCGCTTGAGCGCTGAAAGCTACAGTGACTGACGCAGAGATAAACCGGGTGAATTGGTTACAGAAATGCAAGTGGGGATTTCATCAGACCTGCTACTGTCAGCCTTAGAGACAAGGCTGAGAGCTGCCTCTCCCTCCAGAAGGGTGGATACAGCCCCCTCCCACTGAAGTGGGGGACAGTGCAGAAAAGTCCGGCATTAAATCATAATGTTTGGAACCAGACTACCTTGCTCTGCTGCTTTTCTAGTCATGTAGCCTTAGCTCTCCGCGCCTCAGTGTTATTGTCTATAAAATGGGGTAACAGTGCCAACCCTTAGGACTATCGTGAGGATTAAAGGCGTTAATCCATGAAAAGCTGTTAGAATGCGGTGCTCGGCATGTAGCCCTCCAAGCAGTGCATTGATTCTCATTCCTGTTGTTTTCTGCTCCATACTCCCAAGTCTGGGTATCATTGAAGTGCATCAAGAGCCCTGAGACCCCAAGTTTCTGATTGTTTTTCTTTCACATAACCAATAGGCCATGGCAGGCTCACCCTGTATCTGGGATAAGGGGGGATTTTAAGGGAGAAGCCCCACCCAGCCTAATGCCCCGTCTTACGAATGAGGAAAGGGAATACAGCAAGCGTCATGTTGCTAGGCCAGGCTAACCCAGGGTGTGAGTGGCAAGGATCTAGAATCCATTTTCTGGATCCCTGCCCTCTGGCTTCTCTCCCTCAAGCTGCTGGGTGCTTCCAGGAACACTTGAGCTAAGCTCACAAAGGGCTGCTTCAGGCAAGGATCTGCATATTCCTCCTCTTCTTTTTAAGACTTCTCCATCCCCCCAAGTAAGCCTCCCCCTCATTGGGGAAGGCTGAAGACACATTGAAGGGTTAGCTGCCCAGAGCATCCCCACAGACTGGCACAGGATGCTGGGCAGAGAGTGGCTCTTTGTGTGGCATCCCACCGCCTACAGTTGGAGAGTTCCCCCCGGGAAGCGGCACCAAGGGCAGTGCCGCTGAGGCCGCTGAGGGCTTATGGAGGCTGATTTTAAGAAGCCCCTGCCAGAGGCTCTGCAGCTAGTAGAGTCCCCTTTAAGTACATAAAAGGGAGACGGCAGGGAGTTCAGTGGACCAGCTGAGGGCCTCAGACCACAGCACCAGCTGCTCTCAGAATCCTTGGCTCTTGTCTTACTGAAGCAAACTGTGACGAGGCTCCCACTCCGAAGGTGCCTTTTGAGGACACAGGCTAGGATTATTCAATGAAGCAGTGCAGGCCCGTGGGATGTTCCAGGCCTAAATCGCAAACTGAATGTAAATAATTCCCTCGAACCAGATGGCATCCGCCCGCTGCTTCTGCAGGAACTCCCTGGTGTCTTGTGGAGCCTTGCCCGGTGCGAGCCCTGTCTTTACAGACGTTTGCTGAATTGTCAGTTTGTGTCCTGCCCATAAAAGGGCTTCCCAGGGACCTGAAGCTTCTCAGCCCAGTTTTGGCTGGTGTGGGAGGCACATGTGCGTGGAGGGGAGCTCCGAGGGGTGCACTGGGTGCCTTGGCATGGAGGATGAGTATGGGACTCAAAAACTGACATGCAAAGACACATTTATCTTGAATATGTGCTGGGATCCAGTTCTCAAAACAGGAGAGATTTGATATTGCTTCTCTGAGTAGGAAAGTAGTTTGCATGTTTAAATTGACACTTGCAGGGGGTGTGGCAGCATTGCAAAGTGACTCCCGACTGGCTTCTTCTGTGAGAGGAAAGTGCTTTCTGTGGCCCTTGGGTCCTTCTGCTGTTGGTCGTTGCTTCGTTGCGCTTGCCTTGTCTGCAGGCGCAGTGCCCAGCCCTCGATGGGGCTTCTCAGACAGCCTCTGCTTGGACTTCCTTGTCCTTCTGCTCTGTGCCTGGCTTCCCTTCTCCCCCCCCAGGGCAGGCACATATGCAGAATCTCCAAAAAGTTCACAGAAAGTGTCTATTATGGAGGGAAAAAAAAAAAAAAACAGCTATGCGTGGATCTCAAGTTTTTTGCACCAAATTAAATTTTATCTTTAAATTCCGTTTTCCACAGACTTTTAAAAGTGTTCTTATACAGGGTTATTGTTATGTGCACAGGCCCTTGAATCAGACTGTGCAGGTTCAAATCTGAGCCAGACTTTGGACAAGTTCCTCAAACTGTGTCCTTTAGACTCCTCGCTTGCAACCTTGTCTCGTGAGGTGAAGTGAGGATTCAGTGAACTGTGAGGCGCCTAGAACCGCATCGGGCCCGCACTGAGTGCTGATGGGAGAAATGTCATCCTGGAGTTCTCCCACCTCCCTGTACTTCCAGCCTCTGAGCATGCTCCAAGGAGTTTCCCCTGTACATTTTCCTTACTGAAAGAACAGTCTTGGGGTGGCTGCTGTGGTACAGGGGTTAAGACCCTGACCGGGATCCCTGCTGCATCCCACAATGGACTGCCTGGCACCGAGTCCCAGCTCAGCTGCCAGTCCGGCTTCCTGCTCAAGTGTACCCTGGGAGCAGCAGATGGTAGCCCCAGTACATGGGTCCCTGCCATCCACGTGGGAGATCAGAATGCAGGTCTGGCTTCTGGCGTCTGGGCCAGCCCTGGCTCTTTGCAGGCATTTGGGGAGTAAACCAGGATTTAGAAGATCTCTCTTTCAAAGATAATTTTAAAAAAAAGTCTCCTTGCTTATTAGGTAATATTGATCCTTTTCCTTTTGCTCTTTACTTGGTTTTGGTTTTTCGCACTCCTGACACATGGCTCAGATTCCTCCCCTGTCATCTTTCTGTAAGATGTTAGGTTTTCTGCAGGTACCCATACAAGGCTCTTTTCTGCTATTCCAGATATTTCCACTTTTTTTTTCTGTGAAAGGCCACTGCCCCCTTTCCTTCAATCAGGAACAAGCTATCTTTTCTCAACCAGAATTTCCTCTGATGACATGTCCTGCCAGAAGGGCTTGGTAACCAGTCAGCAGCCTCCATGTACTGGAGCACCTCTTCTCTACCCTGGCTTGTGATTAACCTTTGTCCTCCAGCCTTTATGTCTGCTCCATTCATTGGCCTTGGTTGGGGGCTGGGCGCTGCAGTTCTCGGGCACGACCACGTGGTGGCAGAGTGGCTCCTTCAAACGAAGCCTCACTTCCCTTGGGGAAGGCTGGACAGCTAACTTGGCCGGCGCGGGATAATTTGGAAGCTTCTGAAGAGATTTTGTAGAGGCTGGAAGCTTTAGAAATTATGGGTAGCTTTCATCCCTGCAAAAAATATTCGCTTTAGAAGACTCAGCCCTATGCTGGCTGTGTTTCTTACCAGTGACACAAGAAAAAGCAGAAAATTCCAGTAAACAAAGCAGGCAAGCAAAATGGTGACCTGACATCTCTCCACACAGAGGTGAAGTTCACACATCTGTCTATAAAATATTTTGATTACTCTGAGTTGTGTTTTGTGTATATATAGACATGCTAGGGTACCAAACAGGCTGAGACTTGATTCAAGCTTGACTCATTGAGCCAGATAAATCCCTTCCCCACCCCCTCCACCGGGGTGTAAGAGGCCAGGGAGTAGGGACGGAAGGCCTAGGGGCAGGTCAACTTTTTTTTTAAGCTAAGATGGAAATGGTGATCCTCATGGGAAGAGCAGGTGTGGGAAGGGAGAGTGCTGGGAGACAGCTGGAAGCAGTTTCAGGGCAGCGGCTGCAAGCGCGGTGGAAGCAGTGGGTGCGGCCTGCGGGGAAGGAGGCCTTCCCTGGCTCCTCATCTTCCTCCGTGGGTTCACAGCCCTTTGGATGCCGGCGATGTGAGGGAATCCAGTGTGTGTTTACTGAGAGTGCTCGCTGTTGGCAGGGATCCCAGCAGAGGAGCCGCCTGCTAGAATGTACTTTTTTTTTTTCTGGATGAGCATTAAGTACCTTCAACATTCTGTGCCCCGTGTCATAGTAATTTCATTTTCTAGGAGCTTAATCCAAAGAAACAATCCAAGATGTGTGTCTTTTTGCACAAACATATTCATAATAGTTTTAATAAGGTGAAAAACTAGAAAAAATTCAGTGCTCAAAACAGGTAGCTAATTATGGTCTGTCTTGCATTATGGAAAACTCTTTGGTCATTGGAACGTCTAACAAGTTTTTAACACGAGAGGAAGTGACTATGATAAATGCTAAATAGATTAAAAATTAGATGGAGAAAACCTAAAATATCACATTCACTTTTTATTCTAATGTCCTTTCTAATATGGTGTTTCCATGGAACTGTATGAGGAACATTGGAATCTGAAGAGTCTTGTCAGAAATTTTAAAAATTGGGACCCAGCGCAATAGCCTAATGGCTAAATCTTTGTCTTACATCTGCTGGGATCCCAAATAGGTACCAGTTCATGTCCTGGCTGCTCCGTTTCCCATCCAGCTCCCTGCTTGTGGCCTGAGAAAGCAGGACAGCCCAAAGCCCTGGGACCCTGCACCCACATGGGAGACCTGGAAGAAGTTCCTTGCTCCTAGCTTCGGATTAACTCAGCTCCGGCCATTGCGGCCTCTTAGGGAGTGACCAGCAGGCAGAAGACCTGTCTTTCTGTTTCTCTTTCTTTCTGTAAATATGCTTTTCCAGTAGAAAGAAAGCTTTTTTTAAAAAGAAATTAAAACGCTTTTTGTTAGTAACTTCAAAAACAAAACACCTACTTACTTGAGCAGCAGAGAGCTAGAGCTGCATTCACTGGTTCACTGAGGCCAGCTGCGCCAAGCTGGGAGCCAGGGACACCAGGTAGGTCTCCCAGGCAGGTGGCAGAAGCCCAGCCACTTAGGCCATCACCTGCTGCTTTCCAGGTTCTATGCTCAAGCCATAAAAGTAAGCAGCTCAAGCCAAAAGCTAGAGCCAGGAGTCAAACCCAGGCCCCCAGATGGGGGTGTGGACATCTTCCCAAACATCTTAACCACCAGGCTAAATGCCCGCCCCGGAGCTGGGTTTGGATAGTGGGAAGGGGCAGGGGAGGTGTGAGAAAGTAAGTCGTGCCGGTGCAGGCTCAGGTGGCTGGAGCGGGCCTGGCTCGATGAGCTGTGGACGCAGGACAGTGAGCTGGACAGTAGGCCGAGGCCAGTCGCTGAGGCCGCAGAGGGTGACCCATGGAGATCACAAAGGAGAGGGAAGATATGGAGAAAGATGTCCACAGCAAAAAGAGATAATTTGTAAATATTTTGGTGGGGCCAGTATTGTGGCATAATCAGTTAAGCCACTGCCTGCAATGCCAGCATTCCATAGGGGCTCTGGTTCAAGTTCCAGCTGCTTCACTTTCAGTCCAACTCCCTGCTGATGGGCCTGAGAAAGCAGTGGAGGATGGCCCAAGTTCTTGGGCCTCTGCACTCACATAGGAAACCTGGAAAAAGTTCCTAGCTTTTAGCCTGGCTCATCCCTGGCTGCTACAGCCATTTGGAGAGTGAATCAGCAGATGGAAAATCTACCTTCCCCCCACCCTCTTTAACACTGCCTTTCACGTAATAAATAAATAAATAAATCTTTAGAAAGCTTTTTTGTTTAGTTATTGAAGAGGCAGAGAGACAGAGAAAGACTGTCAGAGAGAATGCCTGTAATGACCAGAGCTGGACTGAACCAGAGCCAGGGGTTAATACAGTCCAGGTACTCACGTCCCTTCCAGGGATCCAACTGACAGCTGTCACCTGCTGTCTTCCTGGGCGTGCATCAGCAGGAAGCCAGAACTGGGACTGGAGCTGGGACCGAAACCAGTTCTCTCAGCATCGTAACGGCTCAGGCCAGGAATAGTCATGATAGAAGCCCATGTGGGAGAGCACGAAAGTTCTTTTTAAAACACATAGAAGGTTGGGCCCCTGCCTAGCAGCTAAAGTCCTCTCCTTGGACGCGCTGGTTTCCCTGATGGGCGCCGGTTCTAATCCTGGCAGCTCCACTTCCCATCCAGCTTTCTGCTTGTGGCCTGGGAAAGCAGTCAAGGATGACCCAAAGCCTTGGGTTCCTCCACCCGCATGGGAGACCTGGAAGAAGTTCCTGGCTTCTGGCTTCAGATCGGCGCAGTACCGGCCATTGCGGTCACTTGGAGAGTAAGTCATCGGATAGAAGATCTTCCTCTCTGTCTCTCCTCCTCTCTGTATATCTCTGACTTTGCAAGAAAAATAAATATATATTTTTTTTAAAAAAGCACATAGGTTATAATTACAACTATTTAAAGAAAGAGCATACATGAAAAGACTAAAAATAAATATTTGAAAATTGAGAGCTATATATTTGGATAAGTCTTTTTGCCTCTTTAAAGTCTTTATTGTCAGGACAGGCATTGTGGTGCTGCAGGTTAAGCTGTGGATTGCAATGCCATGTCCCATAGTGAAGCATCTGGTTCAACTCCTGGCTCTGCTTCTTCTTCTTTATTTTTTTTTCCATGTTTCTAAAGATTTTTTTTTTATTGGAAAGGCAGATTTACAGAAAGAAAGACCTCCAACCACTGGTTCACTCCCCAAGTAGCCACAACAGCCAGACCTGAGCCAGTCCAAAGCCAGGAGCTAGGAACTTCCAGGTCTTCCACGCAGGTGCAGCGTTCCAAGTCGGTGGGCCATCCTCAACTGTTTCCCAGGCCACAAGCAGGGAGCTGGATGGGAAGTGAAGCAGCCAGGACACAAACTGGTGCCTATATGGGATGCGCTCACGTTCAAGGCGAGGACTTGAGCCCCTAGGCTACTGTGCCAGGCCCCTGATTCTGCTTCTAATCCAACCTCCCCCTAAAGTGCCTGGAGACAATAGAGGATGGTTAAGAGAGAGACCCAGACTAAGCCCCCAGCTCCTAGCTTCAGCACGGCCGTGTCAGCTACCTCAGGAATTTAAACAGGCCAAGGGTGTTAGTAAGTCCCAGAGTGTGATGTGGAGTGTTCCTGTGGTGGTGAGGGCCTGGAGCCATGGTGGGAGGGGGACCAGAGCCTTTGGGTGTGTGACCAGCAGGCAGGGGCCCCACTCTAGGCCCTGACCTCCGAGTGAGGTCCTGGCAGCGCCTGGGCCTGCGGGCTGGGTTGAAGTCTTGTCTCGCATTGCAGGGTCTGCTCATGCTGCTGCAGAACCTGCCAACGATACACTGGGGCAACGAAGAAATCGGGCTGCTGCTGGCTGAGGCCTACAGACTCAAGTACATGTTCGCCGACGCCCCCAATCACTACCGCCGATAGGTGCTGTCTCCGCCTGGGGACCCAGACTGCCCCATCTCTGATAGCAATCTGATCACTGTGGCCATGGCGCGAGCCGCGAACCCCGGCCAGGAACCACTCGTGCTGTACAAAGCTCCCAGCCTCTGCCCAGGTCTTAACTTGCCTGGTGTCCAGCACTCCACGTCTCTGGAGGCGCCTTTTGGACCACTGTCAGTATTCCATGGCATGCGGGGAAGGCCGGAAAAGGAGGTACAGGGTTGTCTGCCCCTTCACAGTGAACCGGATGAAAGAAGGGGAAGGGCTCAGGGTCCCCACTCTCACTGTCCCTACACGGACTAACTGGCCGTGTGTCTTGCCTCCAGGCCCCCAGCTGATTGTTTTTTTTGTAACTTGATAAGATTTGATCACAAGGCAGAAACACCCTTGTTTTCATAAGACTACCAGCCCCTTAAGACTCTCCCTAACCCTCCGCCTGCTGCCCTGGCCTGAGTCGGGTAGGGGCAGCCTCTTAGCCCATGGTTCTCAGATGGAGGAACGTGGACGCCTGGGAGTTCTGGGTGAGGCCTGCACCCCAGGGCCAGTGTGTGCATCATGCCATCCCTCCACTTCTTGTCACATGTCTGGTTCCCCATATCCTCTCCAGTCCTGACTGGCCCAGCTGGGAAGGGCCACAGGGGCCGAACTGGCCGAGCCTCCCTCAAGAGGGATCAGGGCAGGAGGGAGAAGGGGCTCCTTCCCTCTCCAAACCTTTTTCCATGAGGACCCACTCCAAGATATTATGTGTAAATTGTGTTATTATGTATATGGGTAAAGATGTACAAATATATGTCCTCTTTGTAGCAGATATGATTTTATATTTATAATGTGCATCAACATGTGATCGCAGCGTAGGTTACGGGCACAGAAGGTGCCCACGGGGCCACTGGGACTCTGTGTAAGGTGCCAGGGTACCCTGCATGGAGGTGTGAATGTGGCTGGGAAGGGAGCAGCTTTGGACACTGGCTGCAGCCCCTCCCGTTCTTCCCGGACCTTGCTGGAGCATCTGCCCTGCTGTCTGTGGCACAGACTCCCCACCCCCACCCTGCCCAGACCGTCACCACAGCAGCCTCCCCCTGAAGGGACCATGGAGGCAGAAGCAAGTTTCTGGCCCTGCCCCTCCACTCAGAATCCAGGGAGCACATTCGACTTAACATGTTTTGGGTCAACATGGAATTCAGAACAGAAGTTGTGGTTTGACTGGTCTTTGCCAAGGCCAAGGCTGCCTGTGTCCCCGGGCTGGGGCTTTTCTCACAGCAGCATTCCATGTCCCCTGCTGCCACCATCGCTCCCCACACAGCCCGTGACGCGTGTGACCCCTGCTTGGTTTTGCTGTTGGGAGGTGGAACAGCACCTATCACCCTGCAGGGCTGCATCCCCAGCAGGAGACACCCTCAAGTTTGCCAACAGAGGAACCCCAGCCCCACCCACAACCCTGTGGCAAGATCAGGGTCCCACCCAGAGCCGTCTCTCAGGCATCCCCTCTGCCCACCCTTCTCCCCGAGTCGGTGTGCCTCAGTAGTCCCCTCTACATGGGGTGGGGGGACAGGGAGCCTCCTTCATCCAAACTAATTAAAGACAAACACTTGTGTTCCCAAGTGGTGGTTTTATTTTTTTAGTTTTTATGTTTGTATGGGAAATTGTGGATAAAGTGAAAGAATTGTAAATAAACAGTGTATTTCCTCCTCCACCTGCTGACTTCTGTGCTGTGATTTGTGTAAAGTCATAACCTCATTTTCCTTATACATACAGGGATGTGTCTTCAGGTGGGCAAGCAGGGCCTCACCCGGAGGTGGAAAGGCCTCCTTGGAGGATGCCAGCAGACGCTCACCTGACACCTGCTCAGAGAAGGACACCACGGAGGTGACAGAGCTGGGGACAGGGTTCTTCACCGCTGATGGAGGTGGTACCAGGTGCTGAGTATGGGGACAAGCCCCTGCTGAGGGATGCACAAGAAGTGGGCAGCCTAGTGGAAGTTAGAAACTCCCCACTGGAATCCCAGTGCTGGGCAAAAGCCTGCAGTCTCCCTGGCACATGGAGGACCCAGGCCAGGACCAAGGACAGCAGTGCAGAGCCAACCTGCTTCTGAGGCCATTGGCCACTAGGCCACACCACTGCCTGGCTTTCCCATCAGGCCCTTCACCAGGCCTGCTCTGGGCTGTTGGCTGATGGGTTTTCTCTTCATAAACCTCATTGCAAAATGTCTGAAGAAAGCTACCTGACTACCCCCAACAGAGGGTAGATTGGAATGGCTTCTCTACCCAGAGTTTCTCCCTACTTCATTGTTCAAAGAATTCATGTTAAAATATTCTAAAATTCATGAATTTATTTGAAAGACTGAGACCAAGAGAGGTCACCCATCCTCTGGTTCACTGCTTTGCTTCACTCCCCAAATATCCACAGTAATGCGAGAGTGCACCAGGCCAAAGTCGGGGCCAGGAACTCAATCCAGGTCTTCCGTGTGGATGGCAGGAACCCAGGCACTTGAGGCATGACCTGCTGCCTCAGAGGTGCACACAGGAGGCAGCTGGAATGGGGAGTGCAGCTCAGACTCCTGTCCGGTCACTCAGGTACAGGATGCTGCTCTGCCTAGTGTGTCTCCCATGTCCCACCTGCTACTGCACCTTGGGATGCTTTGGGAGTTTCTGGATTTCAGGTGTTAGGAGCTATTTAAGAATTTGATTCAGCCATGTGTCACAGAAACCAAAACCAAGTGATTTATACTTGTTTGACATTCCAAAATGGAAAAGCCAGGGCTGGTCTGCTGAATTCCTTGCTAGGTCTCCTTGATCCAGATGGTTCGCTGTCACTCTGGCTGTTTCCACACCCAATTTTCTAGGCAACAGGATTGACTAAAGGGACAAAGGAAATATGCCGGCAATGATTTTGTGTGTGTATGGGGCAGGGGGATTGATTAGTTTTCAAAAGTAGAGTGACAGACCAGGAGAGGCAGATTTGCTGTTCATTGGTTCACTCCCAAAATGTCCACAACAACCAGGGCTGGACCAGGCTGAGACCATGAGTCAGGAACCCCCTTCGGTCTTCCATGTGGGTGGCAGGGGTCCACACACTAGGACCGTCCAGGCGTATTAGTAGAGAGCTCAAACGAAAGCATGAGGTAACCAGGGCTCGAACCAGGCACTCTGATGGGGATGCAGGCAATTCATGCACAAGTGTAACCCACTGTGCCAACAAGGCCTGGCCCGCAGGGCTGGGTTAAGTTCTGAGGACACTGCCCTCTCATGTTTCCTCTTACAATGCACTGCAGCAGGTCACACCAGGTGGCGGGGGGATCTGGGGGGTTGCTCTATTCCAGGCAGCCAAATATGCCCTGATAAAAACGAGGGTTCTCTGAGAACCAGGGGAGAGGGAAACATACTAGGATTTAGGGAGCCAGGGGGATTTACAGTGGGAACCTATGGAAACAGAACTTCCCCATTAGACATAGTGGGGAGCCTGTTCGCAGTTGACTTTGCCATTTAACATTTGCCATAAAACATGGACATTATCTCTGTCATGATCAGGACCAAGGCCATAATTGTTCCTGAGGCTGAAGATAACATGAACTCATCTTCACTGTGTTTTGAAGTCTAGCATTTTCTGAAATGTGTTTGCTCGTGACTGGAAAATTGACGAAACCTGTGAAGCCAGCGCTGGCATAGTGTGACCTCAGCATGTGCGATGTTGGTGGAGCTCAGTCTCTGCAATTCTACCTAAACAGACCTCCGCTTGTGTTGTTCCAGGAAGAGATTGGGCAATGAATCTCCTGCTGGTCACCTCATAGGCTTCGGGAGGCAGGAGCCTCTGGTGGACAGCATGTGGTTAGGCTTGGCCCAGGTGAAGCTTGGAGAATCAGGGGCTAACATTAAGTCCCCAGAACCAATCCTGCCACTCCTCTCTCAGCACCTCCCACCCTTACTTCCTGGTCAGAGAGTTTGGGAAGCTGTCAGCCACACCAACCACCAACGTGCCAGGGTGGCTGCCCTGCAGCCACAGCCAACACGCCGAGCAGAAGCATCCGCTTGGGTCAAGGGCAGAGGAAATCTGAGAAGAACAGAGGACACCTGTCCAGTTTAGCTATGCAGGAGGTGAGAGCGACAGCTGTGGGGTGGGGGCCGGGGGAAGACCAGGGAAGCAGACCCTCAGCTGCTCACGCTTGTAGGGACATGAAGCATGCATGTTCCAAGGATGACCCCGTGATACCTGTCCCACCTCTCACACCTGCCGGTCAGGGGAGAGCACAGAGCTGGTCTCCACCTTTTTTTTTCATCCTTCTCACTTATCTGTCTTCATATTTAATGTGAATTTCTTCAAGATGTGGTAACGGTTGGGTCTTGTTCTCCCATGCAGTTGAACAATCTTGTTTTCATGGCTCATTTAGGTGGTTTACAGTGATTCTAAATACAATTAGATTTATTTCTGCCGTTCTATTTGTGTTCAGCTTAATTCTTTTGACTTCTTTGAATATTCTCATGTATCAACTTCGGGCTGTATCTCTGTTTTTTAAGAGATTACTCTAAAGATTAAGCCTAACTATGCAGAATCTGCTTAGACTTAGACTTAGTTTATCATCTCTTGGGGCTGGAGCAGTGGCAAAGTAAAGATAATCCTGTATCCTGTGGCGCTGGTATCCCATATAGGTGCCAGTTCTAGACCCAGCTGCTCCACTTTTTTTTTTTTAAGACTTGTTTATTTATTTTTATTGACAAGGCAAATTTACAAGAAAAGGAGAAACAGAGAAAGATCTTCCATCTGCTGGCTCACTCCCCAAATGGCCACAGTGCAGCCAATCAGGAGCCAGCAGCTTCTCCAAGGTTTCTCACATGGGTGCTGGCTCCCAAGGCTCTGGGCCATCCTCTACTGCTTTCCCAGGCTGCAAGCAAGGAGTTGGATAGGAAATAGAGCAGCCGAGATACGAACCAATAACCATGTGGGATCTCAGTGAATGCAAGGCAAGGATTTAGCCGCTAAGCCATGGCTCTGGGCCTGACTGCTCCACTCCTGATCCAGCTTCCTGCTAATAGCCTGGAAAAGCAGTGGAGGATGGCCCGGGTACATCTTGGGATCAGCCCAGCTCCAGCTGTTGCGGCCATGTGAGGAGTGAATCAGAGGTTCCTCTCTGTAGAACCTGCCTTTCAAATAAAAATAAACATTTAAAGAAAAAAACTGACTTTCAAGTAAAATAAATAAATCTTTAAAAAAAAAAAATAGTTTGCTACCTAAAGTCAAATGTGGAAGCTTTATAAACTCCTAGGTCCTCTCACCTTCCCCAGGGTGTCGTTGTTGACGCGGATGAATGACATCTGCACGCGCTGGAGACCTGGCCAGCTTCCGGGAGTTTTGCTCTTGGTGACCACGCAGATGCGTAAGGCCCTGAAGAGGAAGCAGTGAATGTTCTTTCCTTCCTTAAGTTCCACGTTTGCTCCTGGTAGAGTTCTTTCCTCTCAACTAAAAATATCACACTTCCATTCCCAGTAGGTCTGCTGACAGTCCTCAGCATTCATTCTCGTGCTAGTGTCTTTATTTTGCCTTCATTCCTAAGCACATCTTCTCTCTCTCTCTCTGACACTTTAAAGATGTTACTTTACTTGTTTGTTCTATGATTTATATTTAAAAATCTGCAGTCTTTGAAATCATTGTTCTGTGTTCCATTTATCATGTTGCTCAGACTTAAAAAGAACCTGACATTTATGATCTTAGTTAAACATTTTTCAAGTTTATTTCATTTTATTTGAAAGGCAAAGACAGAGATCTTGTATCTGCTGATTCACTTCCAGGGCAGGGCCAGGTTGAAGGCAGAACCTGGGGCGAAATCTGGGAGTGCCACAGGTTTAGCAGGGGCCCAGCTGCTGCAGCCGTCTGGTGCTGTGCATCAGTAGGAACTGTCTCAGATGCAGAGGACCTGGGACCTAAACCAGGGACTCTGATGTGAGACACAAGCAGCTTGTACACTGCCTGCAACGCCTGCCCCCATCGTGGTGACTTCTAAGCGTTCACTTAAAATACTGTTAAGCGCCTTCACACTCTCCAGAATTCCTCAACTTGCAAACCTGACACTTTTCCCCCATTGCACGTCAGCTCACAATTCCCTCTGTCCCTGGCCCCTGGCAGCCATGGTTCCCACTTTCTATCCCTGAATTTGGCTGTGCCAAGTCCTCTCAGTATTTGTCTTTCTGTGACGTACTTATTTTATTTAGCTTAATGTGCCCAAGGTTCATCCTGAGTCAGAATCACCTTTCTTTTCTCAAAGTCAAATGTTGGGCCCGGCGTGATAGCCTAGTGTGCTGGGATCCCATATGGGCACCACCAGTTCATGTGCCAGCTACTCCACTTCCCTTCCAGTTCTCTGCTTGTGGCCTGGGAATCTACATCTGCATGTGAGACCCGGAAGAAGCTCCTGGCTCCTAGCTTCAGATCAGCTCAGCTCCAGCCATTGTGGCCACATAGGGAGTGAACCAGCAGATGGAAGATCTTTCTCTCTATCTCTCCTTCTTTCTCTCTGTAAATCTGTCTTCCCAGTAAATGTAAATAAATATTTTTTAAAATGTTAAAAAAAAAAAAAGGCCAAATGTTATTTTGTTATTTAGGAGTGACATAAAGCAGTAAAAAAAAAAAAAAAAATACCAAACTGTGATTCTAATGCCACATGTTGGGGAGATTTCTCCCAAGCAGCAAGCAAGCCACCATTCC